GATCAACATCGTTGATCTCAAATGCCTCGCTTCGTGAATTCTATCAGAGGACGGAATACTTTTCTCCACTTCAGGAGAGGCTGATGGTTTTGTGGGAATGTTTCCAAATGTACCAGAACACAACAGGTCACAGATATCATCACGCTAAATGATAAAATTTAAACATGAATTTAAACATTTAAACATCAATCTAGAATTAATATTATTGGACATCGGTATTTATATATGAAAATAATGAAATATCATTTATTGATAACACAGATATCAGATCTTGTTTCGATACTCAAATTCTGATATGATTAAAAGATATCAACAAACCTTTCTGTAAACAAACAATGATAAGAAATGATATTTACATAAACAAGGGAGATAATTACACTATAAACAGACCAACGGATGAGTTAGTCATAATGTGATAACTGATCTTACCTCAACAGTATTAGTTGGTTTGTTAAACTGATCGAAATTGTATTGTGGACGAAACGTTGGCCTACAAACCAATGTCATCAGTTTTTCTTGAATCATGTTCCTCTGGAACTAAACAAAGACATCGTTTTTGTTACTGATAAATAGAAACAATTTTATTAACAAATGTAAAACCAACTCCATTAACAACTGTATATATTAATGCTTTGTTATGTAAAATGAACAGCAGTAAAATCAGAATAGCACATTGTATAAATATGTGGGTTTATATGTTTAAAGAATTTTCACACAGTCATATTATCACATCTTGAAATATTTCCCGATACGTGATTCAGAAAAATAAATACGAGTGTGTTTTCAGTACGGATGAAAATACCTTGTTTTAATTCTCTTTTATTAATTTTTTTTTCTAAATGAAATCTACACATAGTTGTAAAATGCTATTGTGTCAAGCTCTGATGTATAGCAGGCCAAGTTTACGGGCTTATTTCATCCACGCCAGAGACTTACGATCTTACAACTTTTCACAGTGTGCCAGAGGATCGTATCCTGTTCTGTACAGCACGGTATGCCACACCCACCCCATCAAGTGAACCCAACCCGTTACATACAATGTTAGAACAAACTAACAGCTCTGTTGTACGGTTTATAGTTCATGGATTGGCTCTACCTAATTCTTAATTTGTAATGTATGTTGTCATTCACTCGTGTCTCTTTTGTGTCCTCCGTAAATCATTAAATGGTTTTTTTTTTCAGAAAGCCTGAGAGCGATGTCTTCTAAAGGCAATGCAGCATTTCTACTCACCGAGCTGAACACTCCGGATCCCAGGATATGCATAATTTCTGTCCTGGGGTCAGTTTGAGTGATATAATGTAGATTTGACAGGATATCGATTGAACAGTCCACCGTTTGTATCTTCTCTCCAACAATCCGATAATTGTAATGATCCTCTTCGAATAAGAAGATTTCACCTTTTGCAATTAAAGAGAAAGAACATCCAACAAATTAACACTTTATACTCAGAGGATTGAGCATACAAGCAAAACATTGATAGTTGATAGCACGGGTCATGTATACATCCACAGATTTTAAACTTACCATTTTCATTTGCTCTGTTAGGAAGAAGCGCAGCTCCCATACAGGCGGCTGGGGGAGGCGTGACTACCCGATAGAGGGGCCTTCTTCTTGCTACTCCCATGGGAAGGGGAGGCGGCTGGTCTTCGTTTGATTCGACCATAGCAGTTAACTGTGCCTCCAGTGACGCAAATCTACCGCTGTCCGGCCTGGTTGAAGAAGGTTCAGCGATATGCAATGGTGCACCTGCAACTGAGGCTGTAAATTCGGTGTTGATTGCCAGTCGCTGAAGTGGAGATTCGATGGTCTCGGTGATGCTTATCATCAGCTGTTGTCCCCTGGCTGACGTACTTGAACCAATATTTACCATTGCTGAGCAAGACCAGTTTTGAGGTACAAGTGGTGACATTGAAGATGATTGTAGATATATGAATTCAGTTAGAGACAAGCTTGATGACGTGATGGCTGGTACAGCTTGTGATGTAGACATAATGGCTTCTGTAGACATTCTCCTCGCTCTACAAATCAGTGCTGGGGTCATTGTCAACTGTTAAACAGCAGAAAACCAATGCTATTTTTATTTTGTAATATCTAAAATTGAAATAGCAAACAGAATGTAGAGCAAATTATTGTTCAAAAATGTTTGATAAAATTTCTTTTTTTTTTATCATTCACACGAATTAATCAAGGCATAATTCTAACAAAATTAAAGAAATAAATGCTATATATATATATGTATATACTGCAGACATCAGCTAGTAATGAACTTTTGTCACAGCTCAAGATAAAGTCTCCCATTCTTAGCATTGGATTAAACGTCTCTTACCGGATATAGAGTTGGTGGTGAACTGGTGGGTGATTCTGTTCTTGGTGAATACCCGAGAGACAACGTTGGTCGACTGAGACGCTTGACTTCCTGGAAACAAACATTGATAATTCGGTAATAGTATATGTAGGATTTCAGATCAACACAACTGAAAAGACTTAAGTAACAGAACAGGATATTTCTATGTTTGAAGAAAACAAAACATCCATTAATATTATGTATATCATGTGAAGAGAAAACTGCCATTGTATCAGTTAATAGAAAATTAACATAAAAAGATATTTAGAATAAAGAAATACGACCAGCAGTTTTGTCTGTGATAAGACTTCATTTTCAAGTTATCTTTTAGAATTTAAAACATCAACGTAATAAAAATCGTGTACCAGTCCAGGTGAATGGCTGAGATTAAAGAGATCAACTTCGATCAACATCGTTGATCTCAAATGCCTCGCTTCGTGAATTCTATCAGAGGACGGAATACTTTTCTCCACTTCAGGAGAGGCTGATGGTTTTGTGGGAATGTTTCCAAATGTACCAGAACACAACAGGTCACAGATATCATCACGCTAAATGATAAAATTTAAACATGAATTTAAACATTTAAACATCAATCTAGAATTAATATTATTGGACCTCGGTATTTATATATGAAAATAATGAAATATCATTTATTGATAACACAGATATCAGATCTTGTTTCGATACTCAAATTCTGATATGATTAAAATATATCAACAAACCTTTCTGGTAAATAAACAATGATAAGAAATGATATTTACAAGGGAGATAATTACACTATAAGCAGACCGACGGATGAGTTTGATATAGCGTAATAACTGATCTTACCTTAGCAGTATTAGCTGGTTTGTTAAACTGATCGAAATTGTATTGTGGACGAAACGTTGGCCTACAAACCAATGTCATCAGTTTTTCTTGAATCATGTTCCTCTGGAACTAAAAGACATCGTTTTTGTTACTGATAATTGGGAATGTGAGGCTGATTTTAGCAGAATTGACGAAATGTGGTGTCTTCTTATGAAAATGGTTCCTGACTTATGGAATTTATTGATAGTCATAAGTTGCACGTTTTGTATCGTGGATTTAAGACATTTGTAAATTTGCTACAAATAAAGCAACATTAAAGATTTCCCCGTCTATAGATTGTGTTAAAACAAAAAGAGAAAAGATGTGTTAGACAAAGGTTTTCAGAAATGATAAAATATAGAGGTAAGATTCTATACAAATGAATCAACCAGGTAAAACACTAGCCGCTTCTACCGACTCCGCTAGGGAGGGTTTCTGGTTTACTCAACAGATTGACCATAAACTTAGAAAGAAAAAGATCTGATTTCAAACCTACCACAGGCGTGAGTAAAAGATGATTTCCTTTACAGCTGAATCAAAGTTTTTGCTGGTAGGAGGGTATATTATTGGATGCGCGTTTTGAGGAAATTGAAAAATTATGCAGGTGGGAGATCGTTGAAGATTATTATTATTTTCAAATTACCTTGTATCGATTGAATGTACATAGTCTTGGTTCTTTGTGGTTGAGCTTCCAATGACCAAAGTCAAGTGGTGGCTGGGTGAGTTTCAGAAAACCAAGGTCAACTGGTGCCGGATTCTTCGTCGGTTGGCAGACTAAAACCATGACTTTTTCCTGGATCCAGCTCGATTTACGGACGAGGCGTTCTTCATTCTTTATAGTGACAATCTACGTATATAAAATGCATGGTAGGTCAGAGTTACAGACTATTGTAGTCCTAAGTTGGATCCGAACAAATTGAAAAGTTTAAACATTTTATTGCAAAAATATTACAAATTGATTTGGCACAAGTCATTGCAACTTGTAATCGCACTTTCCATAATACTTTGATATATAAATACAAATTACAGAGAGAGGTTTTTTACTATTCAGGAAGATGAAATTGCTTAAGTTGAACAGGAATAATGCATATCACAAACAGTGTCCCAGTTGGTATAAATACATGCTTTCTACAAGTCCACCTGATTCCGAAAAAATAACTTTTTTTCTCTAAACGTGGATATTCTGTATAAAATCTATAGTAATACAATTAGTTAGCTACAGATCATATCACTTATACTTTTAATGTAAAAGATATTCAAGCAATTTTAATTCCAGATGCTATACTTATAAGTCAAACTCTAAAATCTATGAAATATATAACTTTCTCACCGTATTTTGTCCGTCGTACTTGTTGGAAAATGTGGAAAGATTGTTGCTATTGAAATTAAACTTAACCATCTTTGTTTTCGCGCAAAAACTCCATGATCTCTCTTGCGGTCGTTAAGCTTCTTGTAGCTATGACGTCATGTAATTATCCAACGAGACCTTATCACGTGATAGCTATCCGCGGACGGATATGTTTCCAGAGACAGCAGTGCGGTATTTAAAATGAAAACAAGAGACTGGTCAAATGTGAATATTTAATTCCTTTGATCCTGTAAATCTAATATGATTAACTTTTTAATAAGTCTGTTAAGTCATTTTAGTAGAGTCTTAAATCTTGGTAGAGAGATGTAACAGTATTAGCTTAGCCAACATTGGTTATCGCCCCTGTCTACCTCTCTAGTGTCTTCAGTAAAAAAGTCAGTCTCTGTCCGCCATTCGAAGAGTGGAGTTGTGTTTGAACATCTTACACCCTACAGCACAAAAAGGGTTCGTGACACGGTCGTCTGCCATGATATCCGAATACTGATCGTCTGGTGATGAAATGCCAACAAATATTTAGATACGGATATGCAAGCACACGGTAACTATTTCTAAAATACACACAACAGGGACGTATATACATACGTTAATATATACGTCCCTGTGCACAACAACCTTCCTAGATGTGATCAGATATACATATTGCGATAACTGTTCTACATAGAGAGTAGAGGAATATATCCTGTCACCCACAAACTGTGTTATAGCTCAACTGGCCCGCAATACCCAGTGACCTTGTTATGACACACTGCAGTGTCCGTCTTCCGTCCGTCCGTCAACCGTTGAGAGATTGGGAAGGGTAATGAATTAGTTACACAAATACAGGTTTGTCATTGTGTAATAGAATAAATGTATTTCACTTTCAAAGGCCTTGTATGTATGACATGAATATACAAGGCTTTGGAAGATTGCAGTCAAAACACAAGTTGAATTAATTCCTTGAAGCAATCATTAGTACATGTATAACACCATATCAAACTGTAGATATTGCAAGTACTGACAAATACTGTGTTCACTGTAGTTAGTGTCCTGGGAACTAAAAAATTCTTTGCAATGAAAAGGTTTGCCAAGTGCATGCGTAAGATTTCATGACTCGGTGGAGAAAGTGAAAGGTGTTAAAAAATATACCATACACTCCCTTTACTAGATCAATGTGCATGAAGGTTTGCTTTTAAATAAGTTATTGTTATGATTAGCATGAATTGAAATGTAATTAATGTAAGAAGAAAGGGGAGGTAATTACACCAAACATACCGGGGGGTGGTGGGTGGTGGTGGTGGGGGATGGATGACGGATCGCTTGGATCCGAAACATGTAAACAACTCTTAGCATGAATTAATAGTGAATTGGACTGGAACTGCTTCGTGTTGTGCCTACTCTCGACGTCTATTCGTATAATGTTTGTATGAAATCTACAATTACTTGATAATGCCATTTGTAGCCTTTAACAACTGTGTAAATTCATAGAAAAATACGTAGCATTAAACAGTTTATATGTGTGGCCATGAGTGATATTTTTGGTCGTTAGATTACCTCATAAAGATTTTGATTAAGATTTTAGAAATAAATCCTTGCTAAAATTAGTCATGTCATGTTTTTTTCAGAATAATATTTTAGCTTTGTGTTGGAGATTACTATTTGGGAAGTCTTGAGTCTGTGTCTAGGCACCAAAAACTAGCTTTACGGGAAGTGAAATTTTCATACTGTTTATACGTGGTCATATTGCGAAGGATGTCCAAGTTGGAATTTGCTGAAATGTAAATAGTTTGTTACCATGACAGTTTTGTTGATTGTAAGACAGGTGTTCAGAAATAAATTTCTTCATTAAAGTTGTAGTGTTAGGTTGGAATTAGCAGTATTTTTGCTTTTTCAGCATTTCTTGAGTTGGTAACCAAGGCAATCACATGTCAGAAATCATAGGATGTTTTTGATTTACACAAATCTTATCTCTCTACTATTAATGTTATTATCATGTAGTTTACACACACATATACATGTAATGATTTTTTTTTCATAACCAAACTACTGTACCTGTATATCTCAAACATGACCAATGATTTCAGGAAAAATACAAATTATTTGTTTCCTGCTACCTTATAGCACATCAAAAAATAAGCTTTATGTAAAATGTGCTTTACTGTGTTTAATTGAAATTAATTCTATTGATAATTGCTATAGATACTTAAAAAACATTCTGAAACCTATTCATAATGATTTTATCAAAATTTCATCTGGGGTGCATAAAGGGAGGTAATTTTGGGTGTTCTTTTGGATGAGAATTTCAACTGTTTATAAAGGATCAGTTGGAAAACTGTTTTACAGTAGGAAAGAGTTTGTTTTTGAATTTTGGATAAATTATCTGGTTTGATAATTTTTACTCAATAATGTGTGTGTATTTCTCATAGACTGAGCAAACAATCATGTCAATTTTGTCATTAAATAACATTTCCATAGTTACAGCTGTAAAAATACAATTTTTCGAACAGTGAGTTTCTGATTTCTAGCCTTCACTATGACATCACAGTGCATTGGTGAAGCCATCATTAGCAATTGATGACATCACAGTACTGATGAGAATATATATATATATGTGGTATCACTCTACTTTTCAGTTATATAAATTCACAGAAGCAAAAAAGACTTGATTCAATTTCAATTGCAATTTTATTTAAGAAAACTTATTGAAATCTTAATTTTTCAAATTACCTTCATTTATTCCTAATTTGACAGCTGAATTTGTCAAAATACACCGTATGGGAAAATTTATATTACGTGATAGCTTTTCGAGATACACAGAGATATTTATCGATTTGTTTGTCTGATCAGTTTTAGTTCACCGTGCCCAATGAGCCAAGTGAGCTTATGCCATAGCGTGGAGTCCATCATCCGTCTGGACTTTTCCAGTCTCCGACTTTTCATTTAAACAACTTTTTCTGAAATACCAAAAGGCGTAGAAGTATCATATTTGGCTGGAAGGTTCCTTTGTTGAAGCCCAACAAAGTTTGCAAAAAAAATAACCTTGACCCATATTCAAGGTCACAGAGGTCAAATGTGTTATAACATTTAAATGACTTCTTCCAAAATACCAGAAGGCCTAGAATCATTATATATGGCTGGAAGGTTCCTTTGATGAAACCCAACACAGTTTGTAAAAATAAATGACCTTGACCCATATTCACGGTCACAAAGGTCAAATTTGTTAAAACCTTTCAACGACTTCTTCCAAAATACCAGAATGCCTAGAATCATTATATTTGGCTGGAATGTTCCTTTGATGAAGCCTAACAAAGTTTGCAAAAAAAAAAACCTTGACCCATATTCAAGGTCACAGAGGTCAAATGTGTTAAAACACTTAAATGACTTCTTTCAAAATATTGGAAGGCCTAGAATCATTATATTAGGCTACTATGTTCCTCTTATGGTGTCGTACAAAGTTTGCAGTAAGAAATGATCTTGACCAATCTTCAAGGTCACAGGAGTCAAATGTGTTAAAATGTTTAAACAAGGTCTTATGAAATATCGAAAAGCCTAGAATCATAATATTTGGCCAGTATGTTTCTTTTATGAAGTCCAAGAAAGTAAAAGAAATGACCTTGACCCATAGTCAAGGTCACAGGGGTCAAATGAGTTAAATGTGGAACATGTGCACAGATATGATAATGTTGGTCATAAAGATCCAGGTGAGCGATACAGGCCCTCTAGGCCTCTTGTCTAGACACACAGAGGGATTTAAATCAAATTCCAAAAAACGAATGTGCTGTATTATGTCGAGCTTCAAATATTAATATAATTAGCATAAGTGCTAAGTAATAACATATCCTGATTCAGTTGCATGAGTCCTTTGAGGAGAATATAGCACATGCTGAGATGACCTCATCTTTCACTGATTTTTTATTGTAATGTATTATTTTTCAAGTGACAGCACTTCAGTCATGCTAATGGATATTTAAATTGATGTTTTGAAGATTTTTATTTTATCAAAAACTCAAATTACACCCTTTAACAGTTGATTGGCTGAAGGCATGAATACAGAATCATCATGTTCAGAGTCTCCACGATGTACAAGGCTGTGGAAAGGATGCAGGTAAGTGCAAGTGTTTGAAAATAAATGTTTTCTTCAAGACAATGGTGAGTTTACAAAGTTTGATGACAAGCATCCTGAGCAAGGTAAGTCAATCTTACAAGCTGAGTCAGCCTCAGATATCAGAAGACAACAGCCCTCAAAATCATTATTTTTGTCAAGAAAAGATAACTAAAAGCAATCTAGATTTAAGATATTTAATAAGCACAATCAAAAATATTACATCAAGTTCAAGATATATTTATTAACATAATTTTCAAAGCACAGTAATGAAAGATTGTTCTTAGCACATTGAGTTCTTAGCACATCTGTCAGAACAGTTCTTAACACATCTCTCAGCTCAGTTCTTAACACATCTCTCAGCTCAGTTCTTAACACATCTCTCAGAACAGTTCTTAGCACATCTCTCAGCTCAGTTCTTAACACATCTCTCAGCTCAGTTCTTAACACATCTCTCAGCTCAGTTCTTAACACATCTCTCAGCTCAGTTCTTAACACATCTTTAAGAACAGTTCTTAGCACATCTCTCAGCTCAGTTCTTAAAACATCTCTCGGCTCAGTTCTTAACACATCTCTCAGAACAGTTCTTAACACATCTCTCAGAACAGTTCTTAACACATCTCTCAGCACAGTTCTTAACACATCTCTCAGCACTGTTCTTAACATATCTGTCAGAAAAGTTCTTCGCACATCTCTTAACACAAAGTCTTGGGATTGTCAACTCTAGATATAAAGGTAATATTGGGAACACATGCTTTTGCATACATGCACTATCTTCTGATCCTGTGCCGTTCTCTTGTCACTCTAAAGGCTAAATGTCTTTGTCACTGTTTATGATATATCTGTCTCTTTCTTAGGTACTTGATTCGTCAGACAACTTATGATCCACTGACCAAGGCACTGCTAATGGCTTTTAACCTCAACGTCACAGAGTCCGCAATATCAAAGTTACACAGATGTACAGTGATGTGGAGACTTGCAGAGAAGTTGCAGGAACAAGTCATCATCTTTGGATTTGTTTTCTGCAGCATGCGGTTGAAAGATTCTGATCTGTGAGTACTGGTAAGTAACTTTATGCTGTCCAGACACACTGTGTTGCTTGAGGTATGTAAGATCACATTGTTTGAACTGATGCTCATCTTCAGCTCTAAGGCAAATCACTGTCCCCTTCTGGCAGAAATGTCTTATTCCAGTGGCTGAATTTGATACTGATGCAGCCTTAAGTGCAGTCTGTATACCCATGTTTAGTTGACTCCTTTGACGGCCTCTCCTCAGGGTCTCATTAACCGCTCTCCTCCTTATATAGCTTCTGGCCTTTACTGACATCTCCACATGTTTGACTGTAAAGCTGTTCTGTCCAAAACCTTCCCCACTGTCTTGAGTTCATCACATCAAATCTCAGATAGCCTACAATCTACCAGTCAATATAGGTTGTATGTATAGCTGTCCTGATGCTGATCCAAGGCTCCAAGCAGGAATCTTAAGCCTCTTTTCGTCGGTTGACTATTACTATACCACTGTTACTATATCACTATATCACTGTTACTATACCACTATAACTATACCACTGTTACTATACCACTCCACTGTTACTATATCACTGTTACTATACTACTGTTACATAGTAACAGTGGCATAGTAACAATTATACTGTAACAGTGGTATAGTAACAGTGATATAATATCACTGTTACTATACCATTGTTACTGTTCCACTGTTACTATACTACTGTTACTATAACACTGTTATTATATCACTGTTAGTGTACCACTATTACAGTACGGCTGTTACTATACCACAGTTACTATATCACTGTTACTGTTCCACTGTTACTATATCACTGTTACTTTACTACTGTTATTGTACCACTGTTACTGTACAACTGTTACTATACCACTGTTACTGTTACTATATCACTGTCACTGTTACTATTCCACTGTTACTATGCCACTATTACTATATCACTGTTAATATACCACTGTTACTGTTCCACTGTTACTATGCAACCATTACTATATCACTGTTATTATACCACCATTACTGTTCCACTGTTACTATATCACTGTTACTTTACTACTGTTATTGTACCACTGTTACTGTACAACTGTCACTATACCACTGTTACTATATCACTGTCACTGTAACTATTCCACTGTTACTATACCACTGTTACTATGCCACTATTACTATATCACTGTTAATATACCACTGTTACTGTTCCACTGTTACTATACTACTGTTACTATAACACTGTTATTATATCACTGTTAGTGTACCACTATTACAGTACAGCTGTTACTATACCACAGTTACTATATCACTGTTACTATACCACTGTTACTATGCCACCATTGCTATATCACTGTTATTATACCACCATTACTGTACCACTGTTACTATATCACTCCACTGTTACTCTACCACTGTTACTATATCACTGTTACTGTACCACTGTTACTATATCACTGTTTCTGTATTCCTGTTACCATACCATTGTTACTATACCACAGTTACTATATCACTGTTACTATACCACTGTTACTATGCCACCATTGCTATATCACTGTTATTATACCACCATTACTGTACCACTCTTACTATACTACTGTTACTGTACCACTATTAGTATACTACTGTTACTATATCACTCCACTGTTACTCTACCACTGTTACTATATCACTGTTACTGTACCACTGTTACTATATCACTGTTTCTGTATTCCTGTTACCATACCATTGTTACTATATCACTGTTACTTTACTACTGTTATTGTACCACTGTTACTGTATAACTGTTACTATACCACTGTTACTGTTACTATATCACTGTTACTGTTACTATTCCACTGTTACTATACCACTGTTACTATATCACTGTTAATATACCACTGTTACTATACTACTGTTACTATAACACTGTTATTATATCACTGTTAGTGTACCACTATTACAGTACAGCTGTTACTATACCACAGTTACTATATCACTGTTACTATGCCACCATTGCTATATCACTGTTATTATACCACCATTACTGTACCACTCTTACTATACTACTGTTACTGTACCACTATTAGAATACTACTGTTCCTATATCACTCCACTGTTACTCTACCACTGTTACTATATCACTGTTACTGTACCACTGTTACTATATCACTGTTTCTGTACTCCTGTTACTATACCATTGTTACTATATCACTGTTACTTTACTACTGTTATTGTACCACTGTTACTGTATAACTGTTACTATACCACTGTTGCTGTTACTATATCACTGTTACTGTTACTATTCCACTGTTACTATACCACTGTTACTATATCACTGTTACTATACCACTGTTACTATAGCACTGTTACTGTACCACTGTTACTATACCACTATTACTATACCACTGTTACTATACCACTCCACTGTTACTATACCACTGTTACTACTATATCACTGTTACTATATCACTGTTACTGTACCACTGTTACTATATCACTGTTACTTTATCACTGTTACTTTACTACTGTTACTATATCACTGTTACTCTACCACTGTTACTATATCACTGTAACTTTACTACTGTTACTGTACCACTGTTTCTATACTACTGTTACTGTACCACTGTTACTGTACAACTGTTACGATACCACTGTTACTATAACACTCCACTGTTACTATATCACTGTTACTGTACCACTATTACTATTTCACTGTTACTATATCACTGTTACTTTACGACTGTTACTGTACCACTGTTACTCTACCACTGTTACTATATCACTGTTGTTTTAATACTGTTACTATATCACTGTTACTATATCACTGTTACTCTACCACTGTTACTATATCACTGTTACTTTACTACTATTACTGTACCACTGTTACTTTACTACTGTTACTATACCACAGTTACTGTACCACTTTTACTATACAACTCAATGTTACTATACTACTGTGGTGAACCATCTAGTCACTTGTTACTGACTCAGCTAGAGGTATGTCACAGTGGTGAACCATCTAGTCACTTGTTACTGACTCAGCTAGAGGTATGTCACAGTGGTGAACCATCTAGTCACTTGTTACTTACTCAGCTAGAGGTATGTCACAGTGGTGAACCATCTAGTCACTTGTTACTGACTCAGCTAGAGGTATGTCACAGTGGTGAACCATCTAGTCACTTGTTACTGACTCAGCTAGAGGTATGTCACAGTGGTGAACCATTTAGTCACTTGTTACTGACTCAGCTAGAGGTATGTCACAGTGGTGAACCATCTAGTCACTTGTAACTGACTCAGCTAGAGGTATGTCACAGTGGTGAACCATTTAGTCACTTGTTACTGACTCAGCTAGGGGTATGTCACAGTGGTGAACCATCTAGTCACTTGTAACTGACTCAGCTAGAGGTATGTCACAGTGGTGAACCATCTAGTCACTTGTTACTGACACAGCTAGAGGTATGTCACAGTGGTGAACCATCTAGTCACTTGTAACTGACTCAGCTAGATGTATGTCACAGTGGTGAACCATCTAGTCACTTGTTACTGACTCAGCTAGAGGTATGTCACAGTGGTGAACCATCTAGTTACTTGTTACTGACTCAGCTAGAGGTATGTCACAGTGGTGAACCATCTAGTCACTTGTTACTGACTCAGCTAGAGGTATGTCACAGTGGTGAACCATCTAGTCACTTGTTACTGACTCAGCTAGAGGTATGTCACAGTGGTGAACCATCTAGTCACTTGTCACTGACTCAGCTAGAGGTATGTCACAGTGGTGAACCATCAAGTCACTTGTTACTGACACAGCTAGAGGTATGTCACTGTGGTGAACCATCTAGTCACTTGTTACTGACTCAGCTAGAGGTATGTCACAGTGGTGAACCATCTAGTCACTTGTAACTGACTCAGCTAGAGGTATGTCACAGTGGTGAACCATCTAGTCACTTGTTACTTACTCAGCTAGAGGTATGTCACAGTGGTGAACCATCTAGTCACTTGTTACTGACACAGCTAGAGGTATGTCACTGTGGTGAACCATCTAGTTACTTGTTACTGACTCAGCTAGAGGTATGTCACTGTGATGAACCATCTAGTCACTTGTTATTTACTCAGCTAGAGGTATGTCACAGTGGTGAACCATCTAGTCACTTGTTACTGACTCAGCTAGAGGTATGTCACAGTGGTGAACCATCTAGTCACTGGTTACTGACTCAGCTAGAGGTATGTCACAGTGGTGAACCATCTAGTCACTTGTTACTGACTCAGCTAGAGGTATGTCGCAGTGGTAACCATCCAGTCATTTGTTACTGACTCAGCTAGAGGTATGTCACAGTGGTGAACCATCTAGTCACTTGTTACTGACTCAGCTAGAGGTATGTCACATTGGTGAACCATCTAGTCACTTGTTACTGACTCAGCTAGAGGTATGTCACAGTGGTGAACCATTTAGTCACTTGTTACTGACTCAGCTAGAGGTATGTCACAGTGGTGAACCATCTAGTCACTTGTAACTGACTCAGCTAGAGGTATGTCACAGTGGTGAACCATCTAGTCACTTGTTACTGACTCAGCTAGAGGTATGTCACAGTGGTGAACCATCTAGTCACTTGTTACTGACTCAGCTAGAGGTATGTCACAGTGGTGAACCATTTAGTCACTTGTTACTGACTCAGCTAGAGGTATGTCACAGTGGTGAACCATCTAGTCACTTGTAACTGACTCAGCTAGAGGTATGTCACAGTGGTGAACCATCTAGTCACTTGTAACTGACTCAGCTAGAGGTATGTCACAGTGGTGAACCATCTAGTCACTTGTTACTGACACAGCTAGAGGTATGTCACTGTGGTGAACCATCTAGTCACTTGTAACTGACTCAGCTAGAGGTATGTCACAGTGGTGAACCATCTAGTCACTTGTTACTGACTCAGCTAGAGGTATGTCACAGTGGTGAACCATCTAGTCACTTGTAACTGACTCAGCTAGATGTATGTCACAGTGGTGAACCATCTAGTCACTTGTTACTGACTCAGCTAGAGATTTGTCACAGTGGTGAACCATCAAGTCACTTGTTACTGACACAGCTAGAGGTATGTCACAGTGGTGAACCATCTAGTTACTTGTTACTGACTCAGCTAAAGGTATGTCACAGTGGTGAACCATCTAGTCACTTGTTACTGACTCAGCTAGAGGTATGTCACAGTGGTGAACCATCTAGTCACTTGTAACTGACTCAGCTAGAGGTATGTCACAGTGGTGAACCATCTAGTCACTTGTAACTGACTCAGCTAGAGGTATGTCACAGTGGTGAACCATCAAGTCACTTGTTACTGACACAGCTAGATGTATGTCACAATGGTGAACCATCTTGTCTCTTGTATCTCCTTAATTTCTATCAATATACAATAATACCTCTGCAAATTTCTGCTTCTTCATTTGAAAAAAAAACAATGTTAGATTCACTTTTAAGGTTTCAACTCCTAAAAACAATTTCATTTTCTCTTGATTTGAAAACGAAGTAAAATTTTACAATTGAAATATTTCAATTTATCCATAACTTGGCTGCTTTCCAATCAAAGAGTTGTCAGTGTAAAAATATAATTGCATTTTAATTTTTTTATCAAAGAACAGTGATTGCAGATTCTCAGATCCTTCACTGTTGTTTCAATTAGCTACATTTGGTTACCAAATTTTTCAGAGAGGAGAGAAATGTGCAGCTATTTACTGCCATGGTCACAATTTACAGGTGTTGCTCAAATTAATAGGGTTAACATGTGTCAAGAGCCCAATGGGATTGAGATGTACCAGGGGCCCAATGGGATTGGTATATGTCATGGGCCCATTGGGGTTATCACGTGCAAGGGCCAAATATGTTAACAAGTGTGAGGGTCCCAATGAGATTAAAATGTGTCAGGGGCCCAGTGGGTTTAACATATATCAGGAACTCAGTTGGGTTAACCTTTGTAAGGGGTCCAATGAGGCTAACATATGTAATGGGCCCAATTAAGTTAACATCTGTTTGGGACGAACATTGTTAACATGTTTCAGAGGCCATATTGGGTTAACATGTATGTGTCGGAGGCCAAATGGGGTTGGCATAAATATAGAAGAAACACTATGAACATATCATCATTTAAAGTTACTAAGAATTATTGTACAAGAGGACATAAATAAAATGAAATATTTGTATAAATATTCAGATGTTTTGGTGTATTGGGAGATATTTTGTAAAGATAAGATAAATCTTGGTACAATAATTGATTAATGTAATCACTTGTCTGGTTTGGTATATGTAGTAAAACCTTATTTTAGATCACCATCATCAGATAAACATGAAAGATAAATAGTAAAAGTTAAATGTTAAATCATGCAAGGTCAAGGTCAAAACATCAAGTTCAAGTGAGATCCAGGCTACATCTTAAAGTTGAATTTTAAGTCAAGGTCAAGACTTCAAGTTCAACTGTGATCCAGGCTACATCTTAAAGTTGAATTTTAAGTCAAGGTCAAGGGCAAATTTTCAAGTTAAACTGAGATCCAGGCTAAAATTTTAATGTTAAACCCAGGAAACTTAAGATATTATTTTCAATGACCATTGATGAGTGTTACAGCTATGGATGAATCAAGGTCACATTAGGAGGTCAGAGTTAAACAAAATCATTTTCTTTTCAGAATTTTGTTTTTTTTTGGTGTTTAAAGTATTTTGTGTTATAATTTCAGGTTTGGATTCCGTGGGGAAGACAACACTGCTGTACCGACTCAAACTTGGGGAATTTAACCTTGTCATACCTACTATAGGTAAGAAATATAGATAACATTATAAATAATACCAGAGGTTTGTACTGTAAAATCCTATATTTTTGTGGGGCTAAATTTTCGTGGTTTTTCAGAAACGCCCTATTTTGTGGACACATGATTCTGTTGATTAATAAAGCTCTATATATCATCTGATACTAATTTTAACATTCAGTGGACCATGAATTCATGGATTAATAAAAATAAATCCCCCGTGAAGATTAAATTCTTGATAGTATCATGTTCACAAACATCTGCCTAGATTTTTAATCATCTTCATGTAAAACTGAATTCTGACACCCAATGATGAGTTTGCCCTATAATGCATAAGAACATTATCACGGTTTCAACATCAGGCAATTGTCCGTCTCTTATTTTGGCTCTATCGGCAAAAGTTCATCTGCCTCAAAAGTTTCACTGCATTATAATAAGAGAAGTCACTAAGTTTGTTTAGTTGTTGAACTCATTGCCCTGTGAACAGCCAGGATCAGTGAGAAAGCCACCTTGCTGTAGCCCTGGCTATCTCCCTGAACAACAGAAGGGAGGCCCTGGTAAGGTAGTCAGAATGTCCTTTCAGTAACCGTTGGCTCCCTCACTGAACAACAGAAGGGAGGCCCTGGTAAGGTAGTCAGAATGTCCTTGCTGTAGCACTGGCTCCGTCACTGAACAAGAGAAGGGGGACCCTGGTGAGGTAGTCAGAATGTCCTTGCTGTAGCCCTGACTACCTCACTGAAAAACAGAATGGAGGCAAATGTAAGACTCCAGACAGAATCCGTAAAGAGATAGGTAGACACAAACATTCTCAGGATTGTGTTAAGTTGAGTCATTACCTGTTTTAAAAATTTTGTCCTTGTATCAAAAGTGCAATTTGATCAAAATCTTACTTTTCTTGTATCATAGTCCCCGTACTTGAGGAAAACATCTGCTCTGTAATCAGATTGTTGAAAGTGTTATCACCAACATTTATGTCTGTGAGATACATTATGATACAGTTTGTACACTAGTAACAGTCTCTGGAGGTATATTTCCATTGACAGAAAAACAAAGATGGCTAGCTTTACTGATTTAAAGGTTTTTGTACCTGTATATTTGCTGTAGAATGATAAATTCTCGTGGGTCACTTTTCCACATTTCCTTGTACGTTTGTTTTTGTGGATAACCATTGCTCAATAAGTTTGACTAATACTAGTTATAACAGTTTGTGGACACATAAGTTCAGTGAAAATAAACCCTGCGAAAATTAATGGTTTCACAGTAATTAAAATTGGGACAATATTTCATGTCAAATGTCTCGGGGAACTTGAGTGAAATACTTGATAAATTCAAATTATTGTGAACTTGTATGAATTCCATCTCTTCTCCTCATCTAAATCACTCTGAAATAATGTAAATTTGAACAACGTCAGATAATGGTTTGCTATTGCAGACAACTAACTATAGTGGGGACTAACAGAAACATTTCTCCATTCCACAGTACTATCACATACATACTATATCTGGCAGGGTATTTTATCTCAGAAAATAACACCTAAGGTCAATACTGATTTCAAACATCCTGTATTTTAAGTTAATATTGTAGAAGCTATTTAAAACACTTTGTTGAACAAAATGCTTTAGTCCGAACAATTTTGTGTATTTCTAAAGATATATTTAAAGGTGAATGCGATATGTTTTCGACAACACGCGAAATAAGAAAACAGGAAATTGTTTGAGGGACAAATCAGTTAAAGCATTTGCAGGTAATTTATTTATTAGCTCACCTGGTCTGAAGACCCCATAAGCTTATTAGCCATGGTATGGTGAGTGTTGTCTGTCCAGCTTTTGCTGTCTGGCATCCATAATCATTTTACTAAAAATTATACTTCTTATGAATGACTGAACAGATTTTGACCAAATTTGGTCAGAAGCATCTTTTGGGAATGGCAAACCAAGTTTGTATAATGACAGTTCTTGGCTCAAGAGGGCCTAAGGGGCCCAAATGTGGAAACTTACAAGTTCATTAATGTCCTTACTTTTCTATAGGTATTGTTGGATTTTGTCCAAATTTGGTCTGAAGCATGCTTGGAGGGAAAGAAATCAATCTGGTATAAATGGTGGGTCTTAGCCCCCTGGATGGGAGGGGCAAAGCCCAATATTTCTCCTTCTTTAGGAATGCCTGGATTTTGCTCCAAATGGGGATGAAGCATGTTCAGATGAAGGGTAATCAATGTGTATAAATGTTGGGTCTCATACTTGTTGAGAGGGAGGAAAGAGGGCCCAATAGGGTAAATAGAGGTAGAGGGAAGAGGGCCCAATAGGGTAAATAGAGCCAATCCTTTAAAACCCTTCTTCTGCTGGAATGTCTGGACTCTGTCCCAATTTGATTTAATTATTATGAGCATTCTTTGGTGAAGGGGAATCAGTTTTGTATAAATGATGGGTCTCAGCCCTCTTGGGAGAGAGGGGTGGGGTCCAAAAGGGGAAATATAGATTTTTTATTTTAAATCCTTCTGTTGTAGCAATGACAATGATTTGTCAAAAATTGCTAAGGACAGGTCCCCAAGGGGAAAAAGTCTTTAAAATCCTTTTCCTATAGGTTGGATTAAGCAAAATCAGGTGTACAGTACAGGCCCTTTGGGCATTTTATATTATTTGACTGATCTTACATATAGTTGAAATTTACACTGAGGGATGTATCTTACCGTGCAATATACCTTCATTCATAGTTCAACTCTTAAGACGCGTATATTATGGTACAATGAGTTGTCTGAAAGGCATGTTGACACTTACAGAGAGATACCATAACAATTTGTATATCTGCTGGGAAACTGGGACCTGTTCAGTAATCAGGGTCATTTTGACATGGGGTCGGTCTCCTTGGGATTGCTGGTGGCTATTTCACTGAACAGTTTACAGAAGAGCATTCATGATTCATGTACATATATGCCCTTCAAAGATACTGGGCAATGTGTCTTAACCTTGAATGCAACCACAACAGCACAGAACAGTTCCATTTCTCAGCATCCTGAAAAAACACAATCCACTCTGATCTTCAGTCAAGCTATACAAAATCTAACATTAAACTGAATGAGCCATCAGCAAACCCTTCAAATAAAGTAATGGTAAATTGTGTAAGGGAGACAATTCAAACAAAGCATAGAGATATTCTGTAAAGTAGCATATATCCTTAAATGTCTCGCAGCTGTTGTGAAAATTGTATCAAGGGAAACCATTCAAACAAAACATTGTGATATTGTGAAATGTAGCATATATCCTTAAAGGGACTTAATGGTTAGATGTCATTATTTTTTACCCTGCCTTTGATTTTTGACAAGCATTGTTATACTTAAAATAAAATTTTATTAAATTTCACAAAATTAAAAAGCTCTCTGAGAGAAATTCATAAAGATTATCAGCTTTAAACTAACGCTAGTTGATACTTGCTATTGTGTCTACCATCCATCGCTCTTTAGATCACGATAGTCTAGTTCATCACGTGACCTTTTGAACCCTCACTATAACCCGCCATTTTGATATCACTTCTTACTTTGTATAATTATGTAATTAGCCAAAACTTAATGTGTAAGCCATGTTTTACTTCTTACTTTGTAAAATGACCTCTTGTTTCTTGTTTCTCTTGCGACAGAGCAAAATAAATTAATTTAAATTAATCTTAATCTAAATTGCATGCACAAAGACATTTACGCTCTCTGAACGATAATGATATGAATTAGTGTTGGAGTGCTCCTATTTTTGAGTTGATAATAAAATGGTTCTGCAAACTTTGAAATATCATAATTAACAGAAAATATACAAATTGTAACAGATATTTAACTGTTATAATGCTTTTTATCAGTTATAAAATGCAAATCTAACCATTTAGTCTCTTTACTGTAGTAATAGTTTCAGTTGTTATCAAAAGGATTCCAAGGGAGACAACTCAAATTAGAATCACAAGTAAATAAGTGAAACATGTGTCAATGCAATGTTTGGAGTATGTTTTAGCTAGTGAAATACAATTTATGATAGGTAACAATAGTTTTGATTGAATTGTTTTGTCTATTCCAGGATTCAATGTTGAAAGCATTCAATACAAAGATATAAACTTCACTGCCTGGGATATAGGCAGTCGAGACAAAATGGTGAGTTATTCCCCTTTGTTTCCTCTTGTTTCTCATTCCCATTTGATGCAGAATCACTGCAGTAGTTGTGATGATGGTACTGTTTGGTACGAACATGTCAACAGACTCAAACACTTTGAATGTTAACACCTGTCGTTTTGTATCAGATCATCAGTTTAGAGTGATCTTGTATGGACCTGTCTGGGACAAGATTCTTTGCTATGTGATACACACAGAAATAACAGATGTATCGTGTATCTATTTAAAGAGAAATGTTCCTCTTGACAAGACAAGTAAAGTAGCTGTATGTTCTACTGCTACATTATTTCCTCCTAATCAAAGTTTACAAGAAAAATGATGAGCCCCTCACTAGGGCTCAAACTAATGACCTCTCACTGTCTAGCTGGAGTACCACTTGACTAAGGAAATTCTCCCTAGCCAAGAAAACTAAGGGAGCCTGTACTTTCTAATTCTGTTTTACTACCATTTTCAAAAGGTTTGCAAAGATTTTTATTTTTATGGTGTTCTATGTTGTATTAAATCATGAACAATATTTAGGAAATTAGGTTTAAAAATCATGGTTTCGGTAAAACTCCTAAAATTTGAGCCATCAAAAATAACATCATTTACAATAGTTGAAAATCAACTTTACAGAGGCCACTGTTCCGCCATTACTACAAGGGAACGGAGGCCGTCGTCATAGTGATTGACAGTCATGACAAGGAACGACTGGATGAACTGAACCATGACGTCATCAAACCAGCACTTCAGGCAGAGGAACTTTCCAGTGCATGTTTTCTCTTCCTGGCCAACAAGTGCGACATTGAGCCACACATGACGTCCGAGGAAATTCAAGATCGTCTCGGACTACGACAGCTCAAACATGCCTGGAGTAGGTCGATTGAAAACTTATCCTTTGTTCTAAAATATTAAAAATATTTGTCAAATCTTTACAGAATGTTTAACAGCCCATTTATTTCATTTAAAAAATTTTAAAAACAGTATATTAAGAAAATTCAAAATTATGGCAGGGTTTACTTGGTGATGGTGGTTAGTCAACTATTGTGAAAGACAAAATGATTTTTGACAGGATCATATCTGCGTTCTTTTTAGAGGAGGGAATAAAATTAGTAAGCTATTGATATCCTTAGTGTGTGTCTCGACTGATGTAAATATACACCTATCTTTCACATGCTTTTGGTAAACCTGTGAAAATTTGAACTAGTTGAGCATTGTTTTACAGATAGTATATTACCTAGGTTACGTATTCCAAATCCAGAAATAACTGGCCCTCAAATTTCCAGAGATTACAAAGTATTTTACCTGGGTTACATACTCCAAATCCAGAAATGAGTACTAGTGGAGATATTTGAATGTTATAATGACCTAATGTTACATCGGTGAGTAAGTAGGGACTTTGTCATGCCCCATGATAATAGCTGTAAACCTGGAAACTAGTAAGCTAGATCTTCAGGTCCCAAGTTCGAGACATTGAAAAATGACCTCCATCATGATTTGTAGTGACCATAACATGAAGACCAGAAATGTTTCTATTGTAACATACTATTTTCAGATCTTTTCCACGTAAGTGCCTTAAGAGGGGACGGATTGACTGAGGCTTTAGACTGGTTGGCATTTCAACTTGGATCCGAAGAAATCCGGAGAAGTGTCACTCCAGATAGTGAGGACAAAGTGGACAGAACCTTGAATGATCTCCCATATTGTAGTCGGGCTTACACCGCTATTAAATGTTTCTTTTTTAGGCCGAGTCGACAAGACAAAGTGGAGGATGGACGATGAAGTGTCTACAATGATTTCCCTTGCTTCATTCGTAAATCCGTTTTATATGCCATAAAAGTGACCATGTGACATCAAAGAGGATTGTGATTGGTGGATGAATTTGGAAGTGAATTTTGATGTAACTTCTAAAGTTATATAAATATGATTGATAAACATGATGTTTTCATTGTCAGCAATGGTGATGCTCGTTTTACAGATAAAAATAGTATATTTTACACCAACTATTATTGAGGGGAGATAACTCTGTTTTATGTAAATGTTGGCGAGAGAATATTTCTGATTTTCATCGGTTGTTTACATTGATATGTATTTCATTAATATAGATCATTTCATTTCGTTTTATTATATTTATTTTGTAAGATATTCTTTGTGTTTAATATAGATGACCATGTAGTCAGCAAACAGAGATTGTCACTAAGTATGGACGATAAAAATAAGTAGATGTTCACATAATACAGATGTTCACCCAATAGAAAAACAGGAGTCCACACAGTAGAAAGTCAGGTGTCCACACAATAGAAAAACAGGTGTACATACAATAGAAAAACAGGTGTACATACAATAGAAAAACAGGTATCCACACAATAGAAAAACAGGCGTCCACACAATAGAAAAACAGGTGTTCACCCAACAGATTAAAAAGGTCTACACTCAACAGAAAAATATGTTCATTACACCTGCACTGTAGTAGTGGTCAGTTTCATTACCAAATGCTGGTGGTGGTCACTATACACAAGGGACCACCTAACACATGAGGTTGTAAAGTACAGAATACATCAAAACACATGGTCACTGTAAACAGGTTACAGTTAAACATAGATGGCAGCTATACACATGTTACAGCTAAACACATGTATAGCTGTACACAGGCAGTCACTATGCACAGGTGGTCACTATACACAGGTGGTCACTACACAAGTTACAGGTAAACACAGGTGGTCACTATACACATGTTACAGCTAAACACGTGTAACTGTAAACAGGCAGTCACTATACACAGGTGGTCACTATACACAAGTTACAGGTAAACACAGGTGGTCACTATACACAAGTTACAGGTAAACACAGGTGGTCGCTATACACAGGTTGTCACTCTACACAAGTTACAGGTAAACACAGGTGGTCACTGTACACAGGTAGCCACTACACATGTTAAAGGTAAACACAGGTGATCACTATACACAGGTGGTCACTCTACACAAGTTACAGGTAAACACAGGTAGTCACTACACAAGTTACAGGTAAACACAGGTGATCACTCTACACAAGTTACAGGTAAACACAGGTGGTCACTATACACAGGTAGTCACTACACAAGTTACAGGTAAACACTGGTGGTCACTATACACAGGTGGTCACTATACACAAGTTACAGGTAAACACACAGATTATTCTGAATACCACTAAAATATACAGTCACTACATTCATTTAATAATTCAATAAAAAATCAGGTCACTTCATTTAAAAAAGTGGTCAATATACTGAACATTGCATAATCTTGGAATAAATAAGGTGTTGTCTCCCTTTATATGTTGGACTAGAATTCAAAGAGCAAAGTCATTCTTGAAAGTGTCTCATCCTTATACAAATGGTTCAGAGATGGGTGTGTGAATGTGCTGGGTCAGTCCAGGAAGATCACAAAAAAGGTTGAAAATATGAGAAATCTGAAAGTTAAAGATTGAATTAGTGAAAAAGTGTTTGTTGAACAAATTCAAGTATTGATATGCTTCAGAGGATATAAGTTATTTATTGAAATAAAATCATACATTAGTTTGACGACTTAGTGAAGTAAGATTCTACTAAACCCTTTGATATCGAGTGAAAATTATCACACTATAATCTTCTACTAAAAGCCTTTTGATGTCATGCGTTAGTGTAGTTAAGATTCTACTAAAATCTTGTGGTATAAACAAGACTAAAACACGACATGTTTGTATACTTTATCGTTGTTTTTAAAGGCTGTAACCATACATGTGTATATCGTTGTCACGTGTAAACTGATACTAATAGATGTTTTAAAAACATTTAAGACTCTAGCCAAGTGTGTTTTTATTAGTTAAAGATTGTTTGTTCCAATGCTGTTTGTTTTTTGGTGAAATGTGTGTTTTATATATAGTAACTGTGATATTATGTAAACTACACAGAAATAATGATTAAATACCCTTTTATCCATCAACAGACTTAATTTTACTAATATCGTTTCAGAACTACGGTCTTATCGATCTATTTGATCTGTGTTGTAGTTTCTACTGTTCTTCGTTTCTGAGGATTATGTCCCTTGTTTTGAGTATATTTTGCTTGTAATGTGTTAGTTTAAGCTGGCGCTATAGATCAGTGAGCAGCTATTTTTGTTTTTATGTTTTTTTTCTTTTTCGTTTATTTGTGTGTATGGCTGAAGTGTTACTGAAGATATTGTTATAAATAATGGAAAATAAAAAGGTTTGTTAAAATCACTTCGTTTTATGTGATCTTTGTTGCTATCACAAATAAATGAAAAGACTATTGATGATAAGAAATTAATGTTGATCAATAATCTCAGATTTACAGCAGACCAATCGGATAAGAGTTATGAGATTTGTAGACCAATCATATCAAAGTTGTGAGATTTGTAGACCAATCAGATCAGAGCTGTGAATTTTACCAGCAGACAAATCAGATAAAAAATGTGAGTTTTACCAGTCGACAAATCAGATCAATATGTCTGAAAGTGAAATTAAACGACTTTGCAAGATCTTTGTGACCTGCTTTTGAAAATAATCTTCAATAAATTCAGCCTCGTATGAAAACAACAACAAATCAGTCGACGGAGGGACACAGTTATCTCCCCTAGGTATGCCAAAAGTCTGATGGAGGATCTTACCGCCGGACTCGACGAAGATGTGGTCAACCAGAAACTTTATGATTTTTTCCTTCGTCTATTTCTTGATTCGGACGTATCTTTATTTATTATGAAATACGTTTGTATTTATACCGCTGTTCACGTGTCTTGGAAAAGAAAACTCTCCTAACAAGAGAACGAAGGCGTTCCTTCCGTTTAGAATGGGGTATGGTGATGTCCAGGGTAGAAAAATTCAATATTCTAATTTTTTTTCAGAGGGAGGTGTTAAATATTGGTCAAAAGCTCTCTGGAGTTCTTTAAATTCCACAGTCAGAGTCGTTATCATTTTCAAAAAGTCAATCTAAATCATTGTAATACAGAAGCATGGTTAGCCAGTCTTTGGGAAGACTGGAAAATCAGTTCCGAAAAAATTCAATCGGAAATAAATATTCACATGTCTTGATACATAAATACACAACGGAAAAGTAATTGAAAATCTTTATACAGTACTTGTGGTGATACTGGAGGTGACTAGATCAATACGTACACATGTAGAACACAAACCATAGTGAATAAGTACTTACATGTATTGCTCGGAGACGAAATTGCTCAACATTGGAAAATCAATTGAATTTGTAAAGTAAATTGTTTATGAAACCGGTGATAACAATTCATGTATTTAAAAGTAAAAAAAAACATTTTTATGAATATACCAGTAGATTAAACCTGCATTACTTATAAATATTAAAACTGTTATGTAAAATGAACAGCAGTAAAATCAGAATAGCACCTTGTATAAATATATGAGAATTTTCAAACAGAGTCATAATATCACATCTTAAAATATTTCCCGATTCGTGATTCAGAAAAATAAAAAACGAGTGTTTTTCAGTACGGATGAAAATACCTTGTTGTAATTCTCTTTTATCAATTGTATTTTTTTCAAAATGAAATCTACCCATAGTTGTAAAATGCTATTGTGTCAAGCTCTGATGTACAGCAGGCCAAGTTTACGGGCTTATTTCATCCACGCCAGAGACTTACGATCTTACAACTTTCCACAGTGTGCCAGAGGATCGTATCCTGTTCTGTACAGCACGGTATGCCACACCCATCCCATCAAGTAAACCCAACCCCTTACATACTTATTGGTGTGTTTTAAATTTGACAAAATAGGCTTAATAGTGGAAGTTATCAATTAATTCATTATCACCGTTGAGGAAGCATTCACCAGTCAAAACAATTGTAGATAAAAGATATAAATAGTAACAATATTATTAACAAATGTAAATCAACTCCATTAACAACTGTATATATTAATGCTTTGTTATGTAAAATGAACAGCAGTAAATGTGAGTTTATATGTTTAAAGAATTTCCAGAATAGCACATTGTATAAATATGTGGTTTTCAGTTTATATGTTTTTTTTTTCAAATAATTTCCTATTGTGTCGATACACAAGTTTACAGGGCTTATTTCATCCACGCCAGAGACTTATCACAACTTTTCTATGAAATATTTCCCGGTATGCCACACCCACCCCATGATTCAGAAAAAAAATAAATACGAGTGTGTTTTCAGTAAAACGTAGATGATATAATACCTTGTTTTAATTCTCTTTTATTAATTGTATTTTTTAAAAATGAAATCTACCCATAGTTGTAAAATGCTATTGTGGCATACGATCTTACAACTTTTCACAGTGTGCCAGAGGATCGTATCCTGTTCTGTACAACACGGTATGCCACACCCACCCCATCAAGTAAACCCAACCCGTTACATACAATGTTATAACAATCTAACAGCTCTGTTGTACGGTTTATAGTTCATAGTTTGGCTCTACCTAATTCTTAATTTGTAATGTATGTTGTCATTCACTCTTGTCTCTTTTGTGTCCTCCGTAAATCGTTAATTTTTTTTTCAGAAAGCCTGAGAGCGATGTCTTCTAAAGGCAATGCAGCATTTCTACTCACCGTGTCGAACACTCCGGATCCCAGGATATTTATCATTCCTGCCGTGGGGTCAGTTTGAATGATATAATGTAGATTTGACAGGATATCGATTGAACAATCCACCGTTTGTATCTTCTGTCCAACAATCCGATAATTGTAATGATCCTCTTCGAATAAGAAGATCTCACCTTTTGCAATTAAAGAGAAAGAACATCCAAAAAATTAATTAACACTTTATACTCAGAGGATTGAGCATACAAGCAAAACATTGATAGTTGATAGCACGGGTCATGTATACATCTACAGCTTTTAAACTTACCATTTTCGTTTGCTCTGTTAGGAAGAAGCGCAGCTCCCATACAGGCGCCTGGAGGAGGCGTGGCTACCCGATAGAGGGGCCTTCTTCTTGCTACTCCCATGGGAAGGGGAGGCGGCTGGTCTTCGTTTGATTCGACTATAGCAGTTAACTGTGCCTCCAGTGACGCAAATCTACCGCTGTCCGGCCTGGTTGAAGAAGGTTCAGCGATATGCAATGGTGCACCTGCAACTGAGGCTGTAAATTCGGTGTTGATTGCCAGTCGCTGAAGTGGAGATTCGATGGTCTCGGTGATGCTTATCATCAGCTGTTGTCCCCTGGCTGACGTACTTGAACTAATATTCACCATTACAGAGCAAGACCAGTTTTGAGGTACAACTGGTGACATTGAAGATGATTGTAGATATATGGATTCAGTTAGAGACAAGCTTGATGACGTGATGGCTGGTACAGCTTGTGATGTAGACATAGTGGCTTCTGCAGACATTCTCCTTGCTCTACAAATCAGTACTGGGGTCATTGTCACCTGTAATACAGAAGGAAAACAACCCTGTTTTTATTTTGTAATGTCTTAGAATGAAAATGCAAACAGAATGTAGAGCAAATTATTGTTCAACAATGTACAATAAGATTTCTTTTTTATCATTCATATGAATTAATGGAGGCATGATTCAAGGAATGAATGATACTGTCCGAACTTGCTGCAGCATTGACTAGATTTGTCGATGTTGATGATAATGATGCAGGTTGAACTCCCGATAAAATAACTGGGAGTGATGGTGATCTCTGTTGTAGGACGGCTTAGATTGTAGGTGTTTTCACAAATTATTGTTATTTTAATATTGTTAAGAGCTGTCTTTGTATATATATATATTGTAGACATCAGCCATTAATGAGCTTTTATCACAGCTCAATTTCACTGTGATGTTTGTAAGAAGTTCCTTCATGTTTGTTCGGTTTCCGTTAAGATAAACTCTCCCATTGGATTAATCTCTCTTACCGGATATAGACTTGGTGGTGAACAGGTGGGTGATTCTGTCCTTGGTGAATACCCTTGAGACAACATTGGTCGAGTGAGACGCTGGACTTCCTGTGAAAAATACAGTGAAAATTTGGTAATAGTACATGTAGGATTTTAGTAAACACAACTGAAAATAACAAGAAAACAAAACATCGATTAACATTATGTATATCATGTGAAGAGAAAACTGCCATTGTATCATTAAATAGAAAATTAATATAAAAAGAGATTTAGAATAAAGAAATACGACCAGCAGTTTTGTCTGTGAGAAGACTTCATTTTCAAGTTATCTTTTAGAATTTAAAACATCAACATAATAAAAATCGTGTACCAGGCCAGGTGAATGGCTGAGACTGTAGAGATTAACTTCGATTAACATCGTTGATCTCAAATGCCTCGCTTCGTGAATTCTATCAGAGGACGGAATATTTTTCTCCACTTCAGGAGAGGCTGATGGTTTTGTGGGAATGTTTCCAAATGTACCAGAACACAACAGGTCACAGATATCATCACGCTAAATGATAAAATTTAAACATGAATTTAAACATCAATCTAGAATTAATGTTATTGGACATCGGTATTTATATCTGATAATAATGAAATATAATTTATTGATAACACAGATATCAGATCTTGTTTCGATACTCAAATTCTGATATGATTAAAATATATCAACAAACCTTTCTGGTAAATAAACAATGATAAGAAATGATATTTACAAGGGAGATAATTACACTATAAGCAGACCGACGGA